CCAAGGTGAGTTGGATTATCTATCTCGCCATTATCTGCTCACCCACCTTAAAACTCTACTTGGATTTCCATGTTGGGCCCAATGGAACGGGGGTTGAGATGGTGTGAGGAGGATCATATCAATGATTACCTTTCTAGGCTACCTTGGACGCGTAGTTTCTAAGAATGATAGCAGCGCTACTGAGTAGAATTTTTTTTGCGCTCAGCCTGCAGCAGTATCTGCCAAAGGTAATTCGTGATGATTCTTTCATCAGGTTGTGGTGAGTAATAATGGCCTGTAGGTTGGGGCACCAATAGGTATGACCTGGAGGGACGGGACTCTTTGAAGCACAGACCAGAGCGCACTTTCTCCCCACCATTGCGGGCAAGAGTCGGCGAATGGCACCTGGCATGGGCAGGCAGATGGAAAAAGAAGGGGGGGCAGGAAGCCTGAAGGTGCAGAACAGCCTGGCACAAACCAGACGAGCCAGGGAGCTTCTTGGCAGCCACTCCACCTCACCAGTCCATGTTCCCCTCCACAATCCACCTCCAACTTCGTCATGCCCACTTGAGTGTGGTCCAAAGGCTTGCTCCGGCCACAACCCCATTCAAACAAAAACGACCTGAGTCCCCCCCATCCCCCCTCCCGACCGACAATATGGCTTCCGGTTTCGACGAGGAGGAGCTTCATATCAGTCTCTCGCCCTCCCAGATCCGACGACGCTCCCAGCAGCACGGTGCCGCCTCCGATGCTGCCGCCTCCGCCGCCGGCCATCACGAACTACGACCGCCTGTGCCCGGTGCCGTAAACATCGCCAATATGGGACCGCCCGTCGATACCACCGCCCCGCTGCGGGAGAAGATCAAGACGGAGCAGCGCATTGGTGCCTACAAGATCATCAAGACCCTGGGCGAGGGCTCCTTTGGAAAAGTGAAGCTGGCTATCCACAATGGTACCGGCCAGCAGGTTGCTCTCAAGATCATCGCGAGGAAGAAGCTCATCAGCAGAGACATGGCTGGTCGCGTGGAGCGTGAAATCGAATACCTACAGCTTCTGCGACATCCTCACATTATCAAATTGTATGTGACATGTCTGAGACGACGCTGGCTCGCTTCAGGCCTATCGCTAACTCAAATTAACACAGATACACTGTTATCAAGACCCCCAACGAGATCATCATGGTCCTTGAATATGCAGGCGGAGAGCTTTTCGACTATATAGTGCAAAACGGCCGAATGAAGGAGCCCGAGGCGCGTAGATTCTTTCAACAGATGCTATGCGCCGTCGAGTACTGCCACCGACACAAGATCGTGCATCGAGACCTGAAGCCCGAAAACCTTCTTCTGGACGATAACCTCAATGTCAAGATTGCCGACTTTGGTTTGAGCAACATCATGACGGACGGAAACTTCCTGAAGACGAGTTGCGGAAGTCCAAATTATGCCGCACCCGAAGTCATTGGTGGCAAGCTTTACGCTGGCCCAGAGGTAGATGTGTGGAGTTGTGGCGTGATTCTTTACGTCCTGCTAGTGGGCAGACTCCCCTTTGACGATGAGCATATCCCCAGTCTCTTCGCAAAGATTGCACGCGGCACATACAGCATACCGCAGTGGATGAACTCTGGTGCTGCAGGCCTCATTAAGAAGATGCTGGTCGTCAACCCTGTGCAACGTGCCACTATTGATGATATCCGTCAGGACCCCTGGTTCATGACTGACCTGCCGCCTTATCTGGCGCCGCCGGTCGAGGAGTTCTTCAACACAGGCGTGGACCCTAACAAGGCCATCCAGAAGAGTGACATTGCACCCAATGCCCCCCCTAGAGTCCAGGAGAAGTTGCACAACGAGGTCACAGAGAAGATCAGTAAGACCATGGGTTACGGAAAGAAGGACGTAGAGGAGGCTTTGCAGGCTGCGGAACCGTCAGCGATTAAAGATGCGTACATGATTGTTCGCGAGAACAAACTCATGCAAGTGAATGGTACGTATCTACCAGCGAGGGCCTGTCCACATGATGAATCACCGTCTAATATTTCAACAGAGGCCATGTCATCACTTTCAGTAGATCAAGATGGCTCTAGTAGTCCACTTCCTAGTGCATCATCCGCGAGGTCGGGTGGCTCGACAGTCGGTGGGCAACGACCCTACATCAGCAAGATCGGAATTCTGCCTAGCAGTCTGCCAACCTATCACAAAGAGTACATGGAGCGTGAGAAGGCTGGCCCCGAGGACCATCCAGCGCCAACAATCGTCGTCAACGAGCCAGGCTCATCCGCCCGCACGGATGCAGAAAGGGAAGAGACAGCAAGGCATCTCAAGCCTCACTCCAGGAACAGTCAGGTCAGACTCGACGATTCCAGCAAACGGCCACAAGGCATGACGCCCGTCGTTCAGGCGAAGAAGACAAAGCCTGTGAGGTGGCAATTCGGTATCCGCTCGCGCAATGCGCCTTGGGAAGCCCTCTTGTGTATTCACAAGGCCTTGAACAAGCTCGGTGCGACTTATGTGCCCGACGAAGACTATGAAAAAGTCCACGGCAATGAGGCCGATCAACCCAGCAACGACGGTAGCTTCGTCGAGGAATACGCTCCTCAAGGGGCCAATGATTCAACTAGCAGTATTGATCCTCTCAAGAGATATAAGCTACCAGCCGACCCATGGCATATCAAGGTCCGATGGGAGACGTCGAGTAAGTGTTTGCATACTTCCTGATCTAGGGTTTCCCACTAACCAGACTACAGCACTGCATCAGGCCTCAGGAACTCCCACAGAGGGTAGTAAGACCCCAGATAGCTTTCATGTTGTTGGCGATGATGAGGGGAAGCGAGATTTTGTAGCCTTGCACGTGGACATCCAAATATACGAGATGGAACACGGCGTCTATCTCGTGGACTTCAAATGTTCTGGCTACGAGACGGCCGACAAGAGACTGCTCGAAGAGAAGGATGTCACAAGTCCTTTCCCTTTCCTAGATATGGCTGCTAGGTTGATAATGCAATTAGCCGAAGCAGACTGAAGATCCGTCTTGGTTGATCCGTTATCCCTCGGGAATGTTTACTCCCCTCCGTTTTCTTCAGGGGTTTAACTTGGGAAATACTTTGAAAACGGTGGGCTCAGCGATAGACATGGGAAGACATGCCGATCGATCGGTCATGTTACAGCGTCAGGTTATGCGAACAAGGGAGTTTTGGTACGGGGGAGAGGGATGGTGTGTGGTGTTCTTTTTGGTTTCTTTTGGGGCAGTACCCAGCGGCAGCAGAAGGGCGTGGCTCTGGTCCAGTCGTCTCAGCTGAGGCGAAAGTGGCATCGCGTGTTTCCACACCACCAGGTCGAGATCTAGAGGACATCGGGTTGTACTCGAAACGAGGCGTGGGGGTGAATAGACACACTATTTTGCATCACGAATAGGAGTTGAATTCGTTAAGCATCATATCACCACGGCGCGACCACGGCATCATTACGAGAACTTTGTCCATCTCGGAGACCAGCTCAAGCCCGAGACCCCTTACACCCAGTGTATCAATCGGCGGCCACGGCACCTAAGCAGAGCCTCACGACTTTAGAGTCCGGGATGAACATGCCGCAAAATATGAAGCTCCAAAGCGCAAAGGCGGCGAGGATCTTGGCTCAAATTGGCAGCCAGCTCCGTGGTGTGTGTCCTGGAGATGATCATCACTTTCACAGACCTACGGATCCCGCACTCTAGATCGAATCGAAATGCTGACCCCTCGGGCGTGTTTTAGCAGAGCCTCATGGAAACGAGCGCCAAGAAAAGGATTGAACTTTGAACTTTGGAGACTGCCCTTAATTGTGTCCGTATTTCGTACACGGGGGACGGGCAGAGGAATGCAAAAGTCGAGACCGAATCCTTTTCTGCTCAAAGCAGAATCCAGCTCCGTCCGCAAGTCCTGTGCGTTGTGCCACGAGAAAGTCAAAAAAGAGGAAGGCAGTGGGCAGGGAGACAGGCAGCGGCAATGGACCCTGAAAGGGGTAAGTGTCAGTTTCAACGAACCATGACGGTGATTCCTCTTCCAGCCCAGGTGGGTGGGTGAATGTTTATTCGCTCTGGATGGAGGCCCTGGACAATTGATAGAGGCCCTGGATGAGAAAGACGGCCCCCCGCCCACGGGACTCGGGTCTTGGGACGTCGCGGACCACTTCAGACGATACACTCTGGGGCTCGGGACGGGAACTCCAGACGATACATACGGAATGGGGGGATTTGATTACGTACGTCCCCTCCTGTGCCGAAGGTGGGATATTGACGACGACATACAACGACCACGTCGGCCACCACCGCCACCTAACGTCCCGCCGACCGAGGGCGCTTTTCGGCGAGTTGTAAGTTTCGGTGGGGATTATGGAGCCCTTTTTACGGCAACGGTCGATAATCTCCGGGACAGCCGGCCTTTGCCATCCCGCCGGAATGCGATTGAGAAACCGGCATACCCGCCTTTTGCTTGCGACTGCGAGTCGCGAACCTGCAGAAGCTCACACGACACAATACCGGACGTGGAGATGCCAAGCGATGGGATGCGGGTCACTTGGCAGCAAGGTCAATACTGAGTCTTCGAATACTCCCTGTTTCTCTTTCGCTCTCGAGGTTCGGAGGAATACCATGCTTAGCTTTGAATCGGCTCTTGAGGAAACTTTCTGCCTCGGATCGGATATTTTTCTTCCATAGTATCGTATCCGTGGTAGCAGCCGCAGTCGGCAGCATTGATCAAGGCAGGGCGCTTGCTTTTCGTCTTAGTGATGCTGACAATATCACAACTTACACGTATTCCTGGTGCCGCGCATCGCGCATCGCCAAATCACGGACTTCTCGCCGTTCAATCTATATCCAAGCCAACGATCATCGTCCGTGTCCGTGTATCCATACTACGGTACTACCGTACGGATAGTGTAGGGTTCCCTTGGTCCCCCTCTTCGAGGGTCCATCCAGTGCAAGATTTCCCAGGGAAACAATGGCCGCAACTCTGCAGTTAAGGACGACACCCAGCTGATATCAGGTTACTAAAAATGGTCCAAAGGAGGGATGGGCCCGGGACGGGAAGGGGCCGGCGAAGTGGCAGCGCCAGAAAGCAAGTGAGGGCGGGAAAGGGGCACGCGCGGGGGAGGGGGAGAGAAAACACCAGATGTAAGATTTGCAAAGTCACCGAAGATCAGGACAAGGACCAAGGGACGACCGAGAAAGCGACGAAACGTGCTCTACACTTTGCTCTTTTCTCACTTTCTTGGCCACAGACTCCGGGTGTCAGCACACCACACCGGCCGAGTTCTACAAGTTTTGAAAGTCCCATTCTCATTCTGTTATCCCCCATCCCCCGCCCTGAACCTTGTCTCCATTTCTTCTTCTGTGACCGTATCGTCAGATCGAAATTTAGAGTTTTGGTTATCTTGGTTGGTTCATCCCGCAACCAGAACCCTTACACCACGCCGCTGGGGACCAACTCGAAACGCAAATTCCAGACACCGCGAGACCCGTGGAAAAGGCAGGATAAGGGGTTTGTTAGGGTTCGGTTTGGAAGTGCCGTGTGGCGGTGGCGAGGGAGGGAAAGCCAAAACCAAAACTCGACACTTGCGAGGAAAGTTGTGATGGAAGTGAGGAAGGTTTTTCCTAGCAAAAGAGCTCAGCCATTGAAGAAGAAACACACACACGTACACACACCGTAATCTCTCATCAGCTTGTTTTGGCCCTTGCTTGTGCGGGTTGTACGACCAAGAAAAAGTCATTGTCTCTCTGATTACCCATCTCTGACTACAAGACTACATGACCACTATAATCAGATTTATAGTTTACTTGGACTCTTCAGCTCGGTTGCGCTGAAAAGGCACCACCCCACGATAGCAAGAGCGCAACGGGGAAAAGGACAAAATAGCTCTTGTCGACACGCCCCCCAAAATCCCTAGTGTACACACAGTCCCATCCCCTCATCCTCAACTTTGGAAGCCATTATCTCCCAAATATCCAAGCCTTCATCTTCCGTTCTCAAAACCGCCTAGACAACTTTACGAAATCATCCATCCCCCGTTGGCCTGTTGTTTTGACAACCGGAATCTACTCCGGAGAATTGTTGTTCGTCCAAACCAGCCTTAAGCCACGCCACACTCACCTACATACACACCCTTCTGCAAGAGGACTACGGCAGAAGCCCGGCCATTCTCGATGACAAGACAATAAGGCATTGCTAGTTCCTACCGCACTTGGTTACGGCCGTACGCGTGTACTTTCTCCACGGCTCACGCTCACGCCCCTCCCACTTTCCCTTTCCTCCAAAATACTTTCCGTATCGTCGCTACAACGGCCCTGAGAATCCCTCTCAACCCTTCTCGCTGTTCCCCCTTGAATAAGCAAAACCTGTACGTACGCCCCTTATCAACCCAGCGATATTTAGACTCTGGTGGTGCAGCACGGCACGGAATCCCTCTCAAGCCATGGTAGTACAAGACTGCCCACGCCCCGACAAAAAGACTTGAACAATATCAAGAACGCATGCTAAACTTTTTTCCAAACCTTGCTGGGCCCTTGAGTCCCCCCATCTCCACGCCCCTGTCCGCCTCCCCCTCATCACCACCACCCACCTCCTCACGCCCCTGCTTTGCATTCCCCTCACCGGTCGAAGTCATCTCCAATTTTTCGACGCCTCACAAAGCAAAGATCTTTTCCCCCCCTTTTGCCTGCCGGTCTTTTTTGGCTGTACTATGTACGTCTTTGCTATGCCGTGGCACGGTTGGGGGAAACAACCATGGTTTGGGAATGTGGGAAGTGGGGCCAAGTGCGAGGGGGCAGAATTTCTTCCTGACTTCACACATTGGTTGGTGAGCGAACAAAGGCAATTAAGGTTTATATCCCACATTCAGGTTTTCATTTTTTTCGTTTACCTTACCTCACCGCCGCAAAAGAATCGACTCAACTTGCGTTGGTTTTTTTTTTCTGCTGAAAAAGAAAGTCTCGTCCCCGTTCCTTCTGACTTCGTTGACAGGCCAGGGGGGAGGTGCCGTGAGAAGTCAGGCCGATATGCATGATCACATCGACCTGAAAGCCGCATCAAATCTTGTAAACAAGAAGGTCCTCTTACAAGTTACACAGGAACGTGCTCTGTCGTGGTGCGGAAGTTTATTATCCCTCTTGTCCACTTGCCTCTTTGATTCTTTTGCCCTTGACACGTAAATTGAGTCCAAGACCTGCGCGGTCAAAACTATAATCTCTCTCTCCCTTTCTTTTTCCCTCTCCTCATTTTGCCCAATCTGCTCGTCCGACCACAGTCTTTACTCTTGGACAAGACCGTGGACCGAAGATGTAAACTCTAGTAGTGATGGTAAAAAGAAAAGAGTAGAGTTTAGTTGCACGGTCAAAAGAGAGGCTTGAACCACCAAGACCAAAGCTCCCCTCTAACCAATTGTGGACTCTCGTATACATGCTATTTCATCTGTAGACTTGTAGGTTTTTGCGCAAACTTTTGAAGGCTCCCGGTTGCGAACCGAACTTACCTACAGACGATGGAAATCCAAAGTCGCGAGTGCGAACGGAAAGACGTCGTCGTCGTCGTCGTCAGTAGGTCCCCTTAGTTTTCGCAAATCCCTAAAAAGTCTATTATTAAAAGATTTGATCCTGCTGACAGAGACGAACGAGCGAGACACAAGTGACAGCGAGGAGGGGGGAAAGAAAGTAAAAAGAGAGCTTTGACGGTGAGTTGCCCGCCCACCCGGACGGGATGAACATGTCAATCGGCAAATGTCATGCATCTCAGCGCCCGCATCTCTTTTGCCTTGCCAGTCAAAGACGTCCAACACTTCCACGGGGGACCTACTACTCAGCTTACGCATCTTGTTTTCCCGTGGTTCGGTTGACGATGATGTCGATCACACCACCCTGTCCCCCCCCCCCCCCCCGTTTGCATTTGTTGATTCACTGCACTTTTGGGCAGCAACGAATAGGCGTACGCTAGATACGGAGCTTTGGTTGGAATGAACCTCTGAAGCCTTGTGTTTGCATCAAATGCCCGTTATGTTTTTCGATTTTCAATCTTGCCCTCTTCCAGGGGTACGCTGCGAGACTACACATGCTTACGGCGGTGACGGCGGGTGGACGGCGGCGCCATCTGGAAAAGAGAGTTGTAACTTGTGAGCCGAGAAGGTGGACGGAAAAGCGTAGTGAAGAATGGAAAAAGAGCATCCGTAAGGTAGGCGTGAACGGCGTGAAAGATGCCACGCGATACGCGATACGCCTTATTCGGTGGTGCAACGCTAGATCACCAGACCCCCGGGGAAAAGGAGGAGGCGTGTGGGAGGTTCGTCGTCGTCGACGACACCGGATTGTCTACTACGCAATATACTATCCGACCGCCCGTAGCTAGCAAGTTCAGTAGTCTTTCGTTTGTTCCCGTCAGCGGCGACTATTACCGTGATTGCTTTGGGAATTACAAAATTGGTGTGGTGGGATGCCTAGACTCTCAATCACATGTCTTTGCGACTAAGGAACCCAAAGAGACGGGATAGCTTCCCTTTTCTCTGTAGCGGACTTTTGTAGAGGGTGTGTGTATGTTAGAGAGAGAGAGAGAGACACACACACACACATAGAAAAGAGAGAAGGATGTGTGGCTTGACTTGTCAATGATGACTACAGCCCACCAACCGCAAAGGAGGCTAGAGCAAGAACGCCAGAGATGCGGAATTCATGTACGCGCCCCTTTTGGTAATTAAGGTTTTCCCACCTGTGGCCCGTCCCACCCTCTTCTTTGCTTCTTCCCTCCGACCCTCCTCGGGCATACGCCGCCCTCGTGCTTCTGTTCTTGCTGTTGTCATCGATACCTGTAGCAGTCACGGTACCCTGACCTCTAGGGGAGTATACGTACCTAAACCACACTTTTCTCCCAAATTACTCTCTCCCTCTTTACCGTCCCGTCCTGTTTTCCTTTACTGCGTAGACACACCCAAAGGGCCTAGGCCTAGCTATGGACGGCATGGACCAGGCAAACGCCAGCTGTCACACCATCTACCCGATACCCCTTTCAGCGTTTTGGTTTTCGTTCAGCAAACTTCATGGAGAGTGTGGTTTTGGTCAGTTCTCTCCTGCGACAACTGTCAGAATGTGGCTAGGGTAATCGTTGCGGTGTGCATATACTCACATACTCCCTCCCTCTCTGGAATAGGCAATAATCCCAACGGCTGAAAGTATGCAAAGTTCGCGCATCGATGGCCCATGGCAAGCTGTGCTCTCGGCGAGCTCAATATGTGACTAGTTGTAGGTGTTGTACCTAACGTGCCGTTGAGCCATATCACCACACCCCTTGGACAGCTGAACCGTCTGAACGGTGCAACACACCGAGCAGACAGAGTTGGAAAGGAAATGAATGGGCGAAGCAACCTCCCGCTGCATCAGCAGCATCCATCGGTCACGATCGGTTGACAACTTTGACACTGGCATCGGCACATCGGCACCGACACCGGCAGTAGCAATTGCATTGGCGCGCTTCATTTCGTCGATTCGCTTCGCACCGAGATCACGCCCGCCCAGGTGCTTCGCATCGAGCCCATCAGGCGACGACGGCCCTGCTGTTGCCGCCGCCGCCGCCGCTGCTGCTGTGCCTGAACCTATTCGTACCCCGCCATGCTGGCCTACCCAGCAGCCTGTCGTCCCTCGCATGCCCGCAGCCCCAGGCCATGCTTCTGCATGAGATGCCTCACTTTGAAGCAAGGAAGAGAGAGCCACGAATTTTTCGTCCCTTGTAGAGTTTACCCCTTGCTTGTGTTGTATGGCATCAATAGGCTGCAGCAGCGGCGGGAGCATGCCTCACTCCATACGCAGTATCGCGGCATCGCCAAGTTCCAAACGTACCTGAACCTAAAGGTTTCCCCCAGTACAAGTCCGCAGGACGTTCCGTAGGGAAGTGAAAATAAAAATAAAAAAACGGCACATGGCCGAACCGGCCTAACCCCAGTTTGCAGGCTGCAGGATAGGACCAGCATCGCAGTAGTTCCCAAGAAGAGAAGATAGGATACGGAGTACTCCCACCTTCGACTCCCGAGTCCAAGAAACCTTCTAGAACAAAACATACGATCGAACAATGCCCAGCGCAACCGCAGCATATGCTCTTACAACTCCACGACTTGTTAGACTTTTTGACTTTTCGGTTCTCCAATTCTCTTGCAGGGCGTGTGGGCGGCCTGACAGGTCCTAGCTACGTGTCTCTCGTCTCTCTCTGACAGTACCAAGTCGGTCCTCGCCTATTGAGTTCGACTCTGCCTCAAGCTTCTAATCTGGCCTCGCCGAGCTGCCTGACACTCGCCGAAGTGCCCCGTATGGTGTCCGTATGCTGCGCCGTGAAGAGGGTTCGTAAGGTGTGGCCTTGTGATGCTGACCATAATCACCTGCCCCAGCCCTGTATCTCGCTGAGTGGCATAAACATGCCGGCCCGGCGACGTGCGGTGAACTCGTACCGATACATCTTCAAGACGCACGATTTCTTTCGCACCACAGAGTTCCCTCCAGCCCCCCGGCCGACGTCACGCTGAGACTCCGCTGACCTCCGCGCTTCGCGTTACGTACTGCGGTACGCTCCCGTGCGGTGCGTTGCGGTGCGTTGCGAATCCATGGGACAAGAACGGCACAAAGAGAGACCCGCATCTGCACCCACGGCGGCTCTAAACCTTCTTTTCACTGCCCACCCGGACCCCGGGCCTAGGACTGCTTATAGGCTCGGAAAGGGCGTGTAAATGGAGTCACGACTGGGAGATCTTCTATGGGGACGACAAGTCTTGAGACGATCCTCCAATCACCGCCCCCGGTTCACCTCAACTTGGCAGTTGATGTGCTCTCTAGGTAGAACTTCGGCTATTTGTAAGGGGGTGGGCGTGAGTCAAGTACCGTACTCCATACCTACTCGACCATACAACCAAGAGCCAGGCCTGTCAAGGAATGTTGGAGGAAAGCTTGGCCATCTTGGTCGGTTAATGGGCGACAGCGCCAAGGAAATCCAGCCCGATTTCTTGCGAGAAATAGTCGCGAACTACTCCGTACGAGTACGGAGTACGAAGACACGAGGCGCGTCCCACTCCTGGAGCTTGAAGCCAAGCCGACCGCCAACCGCCAAAGCGGCTCCCACGAAGACTTACTCGCTGCGACCTTGCCATTCCTGTACAAGAGGCGGCCGCCCCGTAGCGTGGTATTCTCGACTGGAGACCACACTACCGTGATCGATCGCCCGGGCACCATGTTCGATGGGGAAGCGCGCAGCAAAAGGCAACTGAGATGGTGAGCAATGCTCCCAAAGCTTATCTGCGACGGAGTGGACATCTGACGATCATAGAGTTTTTGGAGGATGGATGCGAGTGCGCGCAGTGTCCGAGAGAAGATGAGAGCCAGTCAGTGAGAGTAAGAACAACACCGGTAATCACTAATCGGTGGCCAAGGCAAAAAGGAATATTAAGGTTTCCTGATAGTGTCTTTGTTGTATATCGACGATCAACATGGAGCTCCACGGCGATGACCCCTATTTTCGTTACTTCAGATGCGAAAGAGGAGATGGTGTGGGAATGGAACTAGACCAGACCGACACAAGCGCCACACGCCCCTCCATAGTTTGTCATTCCCGCGCCCTCCTTTGAGCTTTTCAGTGAGGTGTGCGGCGTGCCGTGTGTGCGTGCTTGGGGATGGTCCCTCTCTCCCAGACTGCCGGGCTTCCAGTGATGTATGAGGCTTGGATCGAGCGCTTGCAAATCTCATTAGGCTTTCTGTCCAAACGTGTGTAGCTGCTGAGAGGCTGGTGCGGCGCGCTAGCCTCCCTCACTGCTGGGAAAGCCGCGTAACTGCGTAATCTGCGTATCGTCTGTGGTTGGTGTGTTTTGGACAGCCGTCTCGCGTGCACGGGATGGAATTGGAGGAATGATGAGATGGACGACAAATCTGCCCAGGTGGAGCATATCGTCCGGGAAAGGCAGTTCCCTTCGAGCCCCCCCCAGTATTACATAGTATCCGTAGGCGAGACAGAACATGGGATTTGCGATTTGCCGTGGGATTTTTTGGGGTCTCTTTAGACTTTGGTAGTGCATGACATGCCCTCGAGCCCTCGCACAGGGACTGGTTCCCGTACGAGAAGGAGGAGGAAATGTCGTGCCATGAGCAGCAGATGAACAGCCAGTCACCCTCCAACAAGCTTCCCTAGCAGAAAGTGGAATTGGCATGAAGGGTCGCAACGAATGGCCAACAACGATGGAAACATTGCTGGTCTCGAGATCATACAGCACCTTACTACTTGGTATAGGCACTCCCTGGTCTTGCCAGAGCGTGATGCGATGTAACTCAACCTGCCACCCAGATTCGCTGTAGATCGCTGCCGGGGAAAGGGGAACGAGATTTGGCAGGCGCGCCGTAAAGCTTATCCCGAGGGATGTAATCGTAGGCTGTGCTAACTCTATTCCTCCCTGCCTTGCACGCCTGGCAGCAGGCTGTCTTTTCGTCGTTCAGGCTGGTCTCTGGCTACCTACTACGTAGACTCATTAGGGGTAGCCAGGTAGCCTATGGCCCTCTGGCTGGTCGCCTCTGACCCTTGCTTTTCCATCTCCGTACCCCGGTCGAGCAGGCTGCACCGAAACATGGCTGATCGGTTTGTATGGTGGACCGCGTACGAATACACTACACTAGACCGGGGGGGGGGGGGAGGAGATGACGGCTATTTCGCCGTTTGCTTCTAACCCCGAAAGTTTAAAAAGCAAATCCCGATTCGACAACCTGCCAACTTGCCAACGGCAGTGTAAGGTGAGACACTTTCTCACCTCTGCCACAAGCGGCTAGCAGACCTGCCAGTGCACTTGGGCCCAGCTCAGTAGTGCCAGAGTAGCCTGAAGCCTCCCGTCTTTTCGTCCGTGCCAAATTCCAGCTGGTCGGTGTAATCCGGAGTCCGACATGGCATGTTTGTCCATGTTTGTCCATGTCTACTCAGCAACTGCTCACGGCTGGTCTCAAGTGCTTGATACCAGCCTCTTGGAAGTTGAAACTTGAGAGCCTTCACCTGTAACTAGTGCACATTTGCCGATCTTAATTGGCTTCTCCTAAAGGGTTTGAGGCGGTCAAAACCTTCTCACGCCCATCGGCGGACTTCTCTTCGTCAGAGAGCACCGTGTTGTTGCTTGCTCTCACTCTCCTTGTGTATAGCTCCACGTCACGTGCACCGTCTCGGCCGCCGCTGAACCGGAACACCTGCCGAGTAGTGCCAAATGCTGAGCTGCTCTTCATATCTGCCGGCATGTTGAAGACTGCCGTTCCGTTCCGGAACGTTGAGAGTTTGGAAGTCTTGTACTGGCTGCTTTGTCCCTGCCTGTTGCGGGTTGGGTTATTGTAAGCCTCAAGCCCGGTCGGGTAAACACCGACACCTTCGACTTCCAACCTCAATTCTTGGAATAGTGTTGCGTCCAGGCTCAGATCACCATTTGCTGACATGTTGGCAGTTTGATTGACGATCAGCGGGTACGAATATGTTGACTTGTATGTGCCCATCCCCGTCAGTTCGTCTGTCCCGGTGATGATGAAGTTATTGAAGCCATTGCGACCAAATTGGCCTAGCGTCGCATTGTTGGTATACGATAGCTTTTGAGTCCATTCAGGATTTTTGGTCCCTTTCTTGGAGACTACTTCGCCTTTGACAGAGATCATCCTCGTCACATCCAGATTGAATGCAAGAGTTTCGTTGGCGCCTGTAGAGTTCTTTCCTAGGGCCCGACCAGTGATTTTGATATCAGGGTCCGAGATTGATACGGTGGGCGGTTTCCCGGTCGTAATGGAGCCCTCTTCGTCCAGCCATAGGAAAACTTTGCCAGACACGACCCAGAAGTTGCCAACCGTCGTATTCACAATCGTTTTTTGTCCGTCATCCGCGAGGCCGGCGATTTTGATCTTGAATGTGTGCTCCTTGCCATCACTCAGAACCGGGAGCCATGGCGAGATGTCGATCTCGTGTTCCCGTAAATCGTAGGCATCAAGGCCCACAAGCGGGCGATGGAAACTGGGAACCACGCCTCCAGTGAAAATAACAGGGAACGGCCATTGAACACCGGCTAGCTGGTCATCAATGATGACTTGCACCTCACGCCACGGGCTACCATCCGGAGCCATACCGACGGTGGCATTGAAAGCTGCAGCATCGCTCTGAAGTACATTGCTCCACCAAAATTCCTCGGTTCCTTGGCCATTGGCCGAGACGGAGAAGACTGCTCGATTGGCATTGCGTGGAAATTTGACAGTGCTCACGGCTTCACGTTCAGGCACTTGCCAGGCACTGCCTGTGTTGGAGGACGCGTTCCGTGATGAGATGGGGATGATGAGGTCAGCCGGGGGTGCACTGTCGGTTTCGACGTCGCTTTTGAAAAAGGTTGCGGTCAGGGTGCAGTTGAAGGGCCCCGTAAACCTGTCGTCTTGGCGGCGCGTTAGCCGTTTTGGCCCCCACTCCGAAGTCTCCGAGGGAAGGATTCGGGGATGGCAGGTCACTTGGTTTTGGAGCCTGGAGGAACTGGGATACGGGACATGGGCTTACTTACCGATGAGGTTGGGCAAGTCGAAAATGATCTTCTGAGGAGTCTTCCAGAGACTAAGATACGGGGTCATGTCTTTCCAATAGGTCCAGATGATTCCGGGCGGCGCTCTGGGCTCCGCAGTGGATGTTCTCCATACCTCCGTGTCACCGAAATATAACAAAGCCAGCCGATCCAGTTGGCGCCCTGCAGAGGTGGCAGTAAAGTTTACAATGACGCGGTTGAAGTCGCAGCCAGGAGGCTTGTAGTCGCCTATCAACTCCAAGTCAGCACCGCCAATGAACGACTTGATAATCATCACCAGCCTCTGGGTCTTTGTGGCAAAGCAAGAGCAACTGTGTACGCCCTCCCGCGTTCAACCAGATCTATGTGTTAGTCCCGAATATTGCGGAGTGGCTGGTGCCCTGAAGGGCTGAAGAAAAACACCCACGGAAGCATGCAAGAGGTGTCTTTTTTGGCATACGTCCGTAGCACTACGAACATCAGATGGCGCAATACTCTGAGTCTCTATTCTTTGACCCAGAGCCCGCGCGGTCTCGACGACGGCGCCAACGCTACCAGGTCCTCCAACGGCGATACAAATTTCGTTACTCAATAACGAGGTAATCCGTGGAATTGCGATGACGACTCCTGGGGCCAGTCGAGATTGTCGTGAAACAGACCTGACAACTGAGCGGCGGTCGCTCACCACGGAGGTGTGTCCCAGTTGGGAAAATGCTAGTCGCTCCTCCGAAAGGCAAAACGGAATCACAGCAGCGATGAGCACCACAGGTGTGTCAGGCAAAGGTTGGACTTTAAGAGCTGGGCCGGGTGCGGCACAGGGGGGCTGCTATTGCTCATCTTTGGCATTCCTCCGCGGATTGTCCACCTTCTACCCCCATTCAGAGTTTGTCTCTGAGCAGCGGCTTTTCCGGACCGGTTGTGGATCGACCATCGTCTGTTCTGGCCTGCCTGTTCACAATTCCACCGCCCTGCTTGTGGTGAGCTCCGGATGTGCCAGGCACGGAACGGCACAACTAGGCGGCTTGGTGATGGGGGTCAAGCGGAGTTGGGGTGCGCCGGTCAGCATGGCACGAGACACCCGGGCCAGAGCATCAGCCAGTTGCAGGTACTGTTCGACACGGTTTTGGCAGAGGGTGCAGTAGTGAAGGCTGACCGTGAGGTACCTGAATGGAGTACTGGTCAGTGATGGGTGAAGGGCCGAGGGTGGTATGAAGTAGGGGGAGGCCAACTTCAGATCCCGAGGTTGCTGGGGGACCCCCCAGGCCCCGCGTAAGAAACAGAGTTTTGATCCAAAACCTAGACAGCTTGTGTGGCTTCCACATGGTTATCATTTTTGGAAACCCCATCTCACTCATTGCTGACAACGACCGACGACAAAAGTCAGAAAGAAGGGCTCTGCTCCGTGGAAAACCGGGGCGAGTCAGGATTCGACGGCCCACCGGTTCCCACCTGTTCCACCGGTTGGACGTGCTGCCCTGGGCCTCTTTCTAGAAGACCGAGAACTTTAAATTCTGGAGAAGTACGGAGCCGGGCTGGGTGATCATGCAGAGGCCTGACAAGCAGGAACCAACAGTGCCACGGCAGACGTAAGGGAGGGACGCTGTGGGTGTTCTACCGTTTGAGGTATACGGTCAGGTCCCGGTCAGGCGGCGGTGAACCGAATTCCATCATTGAGCAACCCACTCGGACTGAGCAATGAGAACCAACCCTCGTCCGTTACTGAGGTGGCCAGTAAACTCTATGCTCCCTCAACTCTCAAGTGCGGAGAGTTGACGGAAGACATCACCGTCAGGACCCACGCGAGAGTCTCCAGGGGGAGCCAAGAGGCGAGTCGCGGATAGGCAAGGCAAAGCGAGGCAAGAGGCCACCCATTCAGTGCCGTGGCACCGTTCCGCACTTCGATTTCCGCTCACGGGGTAGAGATTCGTCTCAAGGGTCTGGATGGCTCTACAGACTTCGGGAGATTGTGGGCGGGTCGGCTTCGACGGGAAGCACATCGCGGCCACCGACCAAAGCTCTCACCATCGCGTGGCCAGGCCCGGTCAACCAGCCTTCGATCGGCCACATTCCGTTGTCCACTATGACCAGCAGCCACTATCACCACCCGGTGCTTGGTCCAACTACGCCGCAGTAAAGCCGTGGCCGTGCCGGAGACCTGCGTCACCTTATCAATCTGGGATATCATGACCGGCTGGGAATCCCCTCGCGGAGTCGGTCCAACTAAGGCAGTAGCTCGGCCATGGGGTTTTGACGTTTGGTGCTCAACCACAGCCCTGTGCGCGCCACCAATACTGAAGCGCGGTCTCTTTTAGTTAGGGAGCCATGAATCGAGCATGATTCTCGAAGCCCGGAAGAACATTCAGTAGCGCTGTTTGCTACATGCGCTTGGACAACGCTTTGCTCCTCGCTTGTCTTGCATCCGCTGTATGTCAACAACAACTCTTTCATCCGTTCCAGTCTCCACGCCAAGGCCATCTCCGGGCCCTTGACTTCGGGCATGACGTTTCGACGATGGCAAGATTCAGCAAAACTTTGGATCATTCCCACACACTCGGGAGTCACGGCTCGTTGACAGCCCAGCTTCGATTACAATGCGAAAACACAAATAGTGCCGTCTGTTGGTCATCATGCCGTTCACATCCGGTACCATTTTGTATCGAAGCAAATTCTATTCAGCCAAGCCAACTGTATTATACAATCATCGGCACAAAGTTTACAACCTTTGCGGAATGCTGTTGGATGCTGCCATGCTGGTCTAGATGGTGAGTGGATCTATAAGTCGTCAATAAGAACAAAAAAAACAGGACCGATTCGCATGCCAATCCCGAGAATAAGGCGAGCGTCTCGTTCAATTGATAATACATTAAGGAGGTGCCCGGCATCCCAGGATCTCCGACCCACCAGCCGAGCGGAGGCTGGACGGGCCCCAGATTTCGGCTTATTTGCTCCGCCGTTTGCCGATCTGCCATCCCCATGATCTGAGCACCTTGACAACCTTTGGCGTAACCGCGGCGGTCAAAGGCACTCTGAGGAAGATGAAACTTTTGTGGATTGCATATGCCAAAGCCAACTGAGTTCCCAAGCCTACAACAAAGTCAGTTCGTGGAGCTTTTCAACCCTCGACCTCGAGAGTTCTCGTATTGCAGTTCATGTCGACTTACTGGCTTCCGCTTTGTTGGCGCGCTGAGCTTCCTCGACTCCCCATGTTGCCTTCTCAACAGCATCGCTGATGTCGTTGTTTCCCAGCTGCTCGGTTTCGGCCTTGCTGAGTGCGGCTCTGTATTCGGTCCACCAGGTCTTGACTGAATCAGGGATCACTTTTTGAACGTGGGACACTACCCAGTGCTCCAGTTGACCTACAACCTATGTGTCAGTACTGACTCACCACACTTAGACTCGCATATATTGCTCACCAATCCGGTCGGTTCCAACGATCCGCACGAGCAGGAAACAAAAAGGAAAATCCAGAACGCTCAAGGCCAAATACACGCCAACGGCCGACCACCCATATTCGCGCGAAAGCTTCTTCAACCTTTGACTGAGCGAAAGCGACTCTTTGGCAGCACCGTCTGCCGAGTTGCTCTGCCTGGCGGAGAACCGGAATGTCCGGCGTGATGACCTGAAGATCGTTTCGAGCCGAGACGTGATCCAGCTTGAAGTCTGACTTTGCGACCAGCGGAATTGGGTTTGCGATGCGCCAGGTCTTTGATATGTTGCTTGCGGGGTTGTTGTCTTGAAACTTCTCGTTGGTGCAGTGAATTGCTTCCTCCACAGTGCCTCTGTTGCATTTTGCCTCGCTGCCGGTATCGCACGGCGTGGTAGGGTTGCCAATTGGAAAGCTGGTCGCATCATCTTGATGGCTAGCACGATTACGCCAATAGCCCCTAGACACAGATTGTTGATTCTTATGGCTCGTTGTGGTATGTCTCGACTCGAGTCAAGGTTGTAAGGTCGGTCGTGAGTGATGGGTTGCGATGGAGACGCGCCGAGCTAATCAAGCACGGAATTTTTCTTTTGGAAGCCTGGGTTCCGAATCGCCGTAAACTCCGCGTGGATGACGACAAAAAGTGTGTTTTGCCTCCGATACGCCGGTCTCCGATGGTGCCGTTGTCGCCGAAGCTTCCAGTCGTCGGTGTGCGCACACAATCAGCCCAAAAGTTCGCAAAAAGGCTCGGTCGTACTGATCAGTGCGGATGCTGCTTCGGTGGCTTACGCGCGCGGCGAAAGTCACGTTGGTTCTCGCGTCTTTGACCCTGGATGTTGAAAAAATCTGACGAGAAATGGATCTCCTCCGACGAACTGCCCAGCTGTGTCGTGGGTACCCGGTAGAGGCGGCACCCGCGTGCGGAACATGCCGTCAGAGATGTGGCTGGTGATATGGTGGCGTTTTCATCACGTGAGGTATATCGGAAAAAGACTGGTGCCGGTATCCGACCTCATCTCATCACTCGGAAGTCGGCCCGGGTCAGTCTCAGATACGAACGTGTCTGCGACAAGCCACAAACTTTACTCTTACTACGCATGCGCTGTGTCTTACACACCCCATGATAACTTCACCGCCATCACAAATCACTCGCACTGACTAGCCCGTCCTCTTGGCTCCAACAACGGGCAGAAATTTGGAGAGGTCTGGAACCAACATGTTGGACTCATCGCTCATTAAAAGTCAATCTGCGGAATGTGTTAGCCTCAGCGCATCGCTGCGATATTCTCCCATTCGCTCGCATCAAATTTACGAGGTCCTTCTCAACTCAAAAGCGTATTAGGCCGTTAAATAGATTGTCAGCAGGTCTGAGAACTGATGCGATCCCTCGAATGGAAAGGTTTGCCTGCGAATACGCACCATTTTCCTTCAGGATCTCTGCTTTGCCCCACGATCTCCTCTGGGTTGAGGGTTATAGGGAATTCGTCAAGGGTGTGGGACAGGGGCTTCCACTTTGGAAGCTACCTAATGGCTCAAGCTCCGTAACACCTCGGAGTATCGATAGGTCGGCTGCGCCATCCTCCGTCCAAAGCTTCGTAGAAGTCCTCGGTGTTTCTCTGGCAGCAGTTTCTCTTTTCCTCGCAACTTTGTACGTGGTGATGATGCAATTAGCAATGATTTCATCCAACGTTCACGGTTACTACAGCAGGCAACCAGATAATGCAATACAAACTCTATCGCAATAAATGTCAGTATTCAGGTTTTCTGCCAAACTTTGGAGCGCGCTTCGTAATATCGAATAGGAAACGAGAGGTTCGGAGTAAGCCCGAAGATTATCCAGGTGGACATTCATCGGATTTGGGCCCGATCAGTATTGGCATTACCACCCTGGCATCACCATGGAGTTCAACATGAATGTGTCATGGACCGACAAGGGCCGGCAGGTTCAAGCTCATCAGCCCCGATTGCCGCCTATAGCTCCAGCCGCCGTCGTTATCCAATTCCACCAACCGACCGCACTTCCGTCCCCGAGACCCGGAAGACGGTGGGCGGAGAGGTCGGTGATCCCGGGCTGCCATGGCTTCGATAGTGCTGCTTGGGAGTTTCTTATATCACCTTGATAAACTCAGAATTCTACCGAATCATTCAACCGAATCATTGAGCGTTCATTATTAGTGTTTCAGTTCAGCCTTATTGACCGCTTCAAGTACAACCAAACTTTGCAAGCAGCAGGTAATCACGCACTGTTTAACTTCATCGTTTTGCATTACTAGAGGATTACCGCAGTACATGTAGACGCTACCCTGCCCTCGAATTCCGCACTGTTCAACCTTAACCCTTTTTAAATAAGTTACCCATCCTTTCCTCTATTCTACCCTCTCCCTCGTCAAGGGATCGTTAGAATCGTAGTTTCGATAACTTATTAATAAACTAGTACTACTATTTAGAAGTAGGTAACCTACGCTTATATATAGGTACCGGGAGTCTTACTATTATAAAAATAGTAGTAAATATATTAGAGTACTTGAGAAAGCTTTTTAATAGATTTCTAATATTATTTAAAGCTATAGTCCTCGAGCTATAAAAGGAAGCCGAGGTGCTATATTAATACGGCCCTATCCGTCTCGTTAGTACTAATAATAGTCTTCTTAACATAAAATATATTATTAATACTTTATAGCCGCGTTACTACCCTTTGTAAATCGTACCTAACGTTAGTAAAGATTTTAGCGTTATTTCTTAGTTCGTCTCTTAGTTTTTTTATTAAAGCTATTATCGTAAGGTTAGTTTAGTTATTAATATCTTAATAAGTATTTTAACTTAACTTAGAGGCTCTTATAGCCCTTAAGTAAAAGCTTTTAAAGGACTTATAATTAGACTTTTCGCTTATTACGGGCAAAGCTATTATAATTAAAGCTATAGCATTACGAACCTCGATAGTAAGTAGTTAGTAGTATAATTATCTTTCTCTTATAATAAGCTTAAAAAAGCATCTTAATTTAAGTACTAAGTAAGTATTATACTATTTTATTAAAACTATATTCTTGTACTTATAACTTAGAAAGAATTAACTTTCTTTAATAACAAGGTACTTAGTAGGTGATCACGGTGATCTCTCCGTCCAGACAAATGAATTAGAGGGATATCAATAGCGCAAACTTTCTTGAGGACCCTTCAACCCCGTCCAAGTGTACATAGTATATAGAGCACGCTTGCGACGACCGTGCGGGGCGCGGCAGGCAGAAGGGTCCTCTACGGACAAGGTTTGCTATACAAGTACGAGTGCTTGTCGTCAGGGATGCGAAAGTCAAATTCCCACCAGGGCCCGCCGGGCTGAAAAGTCAGGATGCTTTCACGGTTTTACATTACACACAGCTTACATCTCACGGTCTAGCGGTCTTCAGTCGCACGATGTGCTATTGGGTGGGAATTGAACAAGGCCACAACATGCACCACCAGTATGCTTGGCACCCCGAGCTCCTCCGAAGTCGTTGGCGCACTTCGGGTCCGGCTCGTGGTTCATGGCGAGACCCTCTGAACATCTGGGTCCCCTGGTACGATGCCACCCCCACCACGGATATTTTGCTTGGCGTCTCCCAGGATCGAATGCATACCTACTGTGGTACATCCTGGCGATAGCTGACTTGTGGGTCAGGGGGTGAACGTAGGGGTGATCAGTGTGGGTGGGTGTGCGTTTGTCAAAGCGTGTGTGTGAGAGAGAGCGATGCGTACCCAGAGACATGAGTGACTTGCAGCTCTCTGAATGCTAGCATTCGATGACACAGGCACATAATTCGATAGTTCGGATGGTCTATTCTCTGAGTGTTTTCCTCTCTTCCCTTTCCAATACCTTTTTTAGGCGTGGCCTCCGCGGCTAACGCGGGAGTCAGGAGCCCGCGATAGTTTTCTCACATAGACTTTTTCTCGAACTTTTCCAACCTTCTTGGCGTCTGAGTCCAAAGGCCTCCTCCAACACCGGCGTCCGTCGCCTTCACCGAGGTCTGGAAGTCTAAACCGTACGGAGACAATGCCTTGGCGGCATGCTGCAAATCGTCCACTTTACGCACATCTTGCGACTCGTTATCCCAATTCGTACTTACTCCTTCCTTTCGTCCTTTTTGCGATATGTGCAACATTCAACGTCCGGTCCACTTGGTGGCGGGTATCGTGCATCGTATTCGATACTTTAAGGAAATGTATACATATCCCTGCATCCCATCGATCCATGATTCCACATGGCTACGAGTTGCCGGCCAGATGCCGCTTCCAGGAGCTGGAAGAGGCGGGTGGCTCTGATTGGTACACCCCAGTTTACAGGCTGCCGTGGCTGCTCCGCCTGAGATGGTAATCCTACTAGAATTGACACAGATATTGCGATAATGAACCTCGGACTCGAGTCAGGAAGAGCCTCGGAATGGGCCTCGTTGCGCAGTACATGATTATCAAGCGTCCCAGCGGCCCATTCCGCAATGACTAACGAGAAGACCCGCCGTTTGTTACGCATAGAAACGGTCCACCTCCGACTGCTGTACCAACAATCAGAAGTTCCAGGGCGATAGTGGGCTGTCGTCTGAATCAGCAACCGGGCCAGGTCCGACAATAGCATCAGGCGGGGCCCCCATGGCTTTTCTTTCCGAGGCAATCCCGAGCACGCCTTTTTCTGCTCAAAATTGATGTTTACTGAGGCGAGAGCCCTGACAGTGAAGCCTTCCGCCCTCTGACTCGTTTCTCGGGGCGTGGCCTAGAATGGCAAGCTTCCAGAAGCATAGCACGGTTGGTTTCAGGTCCGTATTGCTGACAAAGGGCCAAGAGAAGAAGAGAGTTTGTTGCTGGTTGGGTGCAATAACCTAAAAGGGTTGTCACGAGTTGCTGAGTTGCTCAGAATTGCTCCTTTGGCTCTGGACATCTTTTGGACGAATTACCGTAATCGTAATATGTCCCGAAGCGAACATGGAATTTCGCAAAGAAGAAAAGGAAGAAAAAAAGATCAGATGGGTTTGTTTCATATCGTCTGGAAATTTCTGCCCAGGAATGTCGTCAAACAGACATCATGGGACGCTGCTGCCCACGATTCGCAAGTGGCTGCGTGCGGACCGGGCGGAAAGATTCCCGGGATCGATCCCCACTGAGCACCGTGGAACGGTAGCTGAGATGGTGTGTGGCGTCCAAGTTTGTGTTCCCGGCCGTTGCTCACCCGTGCTTCCACGTGTATCAATAGAGAGTGGCCATATCCTGATTGACGTATGCAGGTAGAGTCAAGACGAGTGTACAAGGACCTCATGACACATCTCGAGAGTGGTATCTTCGTACGTGACACCCCTCTATAAACCTAAAATTGCGGTTCGTGTATCGGGCGTTGACCGTACCGTGCCTTACACGTGTAAAGTCCCTTGATTCTCGCAAGAGCCCTGCTCCCAGTCTCTTCACT